AAATTATTCTCTTGAGATAGAAGATTAGAAGCTGTTGTAGACCACTCCTCTTATCCTTCAGTTTTTATTCACAAATGAACACTTAAGACTCCTATGAGACTGCTTTATAAAGATGTTCCGCAAATCTCTTAGTGATTTGGTTTTGTTACATTGAAAAGACTGAATATTTTATTTGTCTACAGTAGCCCCAAAACTATATGTTAAATCTGCCCAAATCTGTAGTGTTTTTAGAACCACTTGTGAACAAATTGTCAGATTAAGGGTGAAGCAAGGGGGAAGAGTGATGTGTTAAGAATTTGATACCCATTTGGAATTCACATGAAAGAAAAGTAAAATGACATAGACCTCAAGCAACTGGGTAGAGTTAAGCAACCATGAAAGTCTTATTAAAGACAAAGCTTGCCTTTCACTTCCTTCATTCTTCCCACCTCTTTGAGTATAATCATTATATTTCTCTTATGTTGCATATACCACTTATCCTGAGCCTTAATAATTGTTTATGCTCCTGGTTATGCAAAAAGTCTAACTAAATTCCGTATCAATAAACATCTTCAGTCAGCTGGTGGGGGTGAGAAGGGCAGGAAATCTAAGATCTAACTGGCTCCATGTCAAAAAAGGAAAGTGGGAGGTGGGACAAATGGACGTGCTAAATATATTTTTTACTCATTATACATTTCTTAATTCAGAAGAGATGACTTAGCACTTCTTAATATTTCCTTTCCTTTTGAAGAGCTGAGTCAGTATACCTTAATGTAATTACTTTGCAGTGATTTTCCTTTTGGGATACAATGATACACTAGGGAATCTTCTCATTAGTTGAGTGCCTTCTATGTACCAGACACTAAAGGAGAAGCACAAAGGTTGTACATACATTGTTCACTCAAGATTTTCTATAAAAATTACATTCAGGAAAAAGTATCTTCTCTGTTAATCATGTGAAATGTCAAGCAATTTTACATATACAGAGGAATGCAATAATAGTTTCAAATTTTTTCAGATATTTCAAATATATATTAGAATCCCAGCTCTGCCACTTGCTGTCCTTGTGCAATTGAAAAATTTTCTAAACACTTCTGAACTGTAAACATTTTATCTGCAAAATAAAGACTGCCTACTGCAAGTTGCCTTTGTGAGAAGTAAATGAAAGGGTAAAGGTAAAATGCCAGAGACAGAGTAAGCACTGATAAAATAATAGCTATGACTATATTTTCACTAATGTATTTTATTATTGTCTCCTTCTCTTTCACTTTTACAAATAATTCACAGTGATTTTAATCAAGAGAACACAGGGTGTCCGAGGGTAAGTCAGAAAGTATTGCTACAAAATCGTAGAAACCTGTATTAAACAAAAATATCAACATATGAAGCGTTGTTCCTTGACATATCCTCTAGGTCTATGTACTTCTATAGGTGGTATTTCCATCTCTCAAACCTTTTCCTATGAAGTCCTGGTGTGGCTCTGTGGGCTAATGCTCTGGACTGTAAAGTCGATTTGAAACACAAAGTCAGCGGTTCAAGCTCACAAGCCGCTTCTCGGAAACCCTATTCAGGGTCGCTATGAGTTGAAACCAGCAACCCTTTCCTGGTGAGGCACTTTAGGATCAGCACTGGTCTGCGGAACCGCAAGGTCAGCAGTTCACACCTACCAGCTGCTCCTTGGACACCCTATACAGGGTCGCTATAATTCAGAACCGACGCCACGGCACTTAACAACAACAACAACAACAACCCTTTCCTGAGAACTCCTGGTGTGTCGCTGTAGGATCAACACTGGTCTGCGAACCATCAGGTGCTCCTTGGAAGCCTTATATAGGGTCACCGTGAGTCCGAACCCACTCGATGGCACATACAACAACAAAGGGATTCAAATCTTGTTCCTTTTAAATGTTCTTTGAATTTAGGTAACAAAAAGTCTGAAGGGTTGATAGGGTAAAGTTTCCCAATGAAATTCTTATAAGGCAGTCTTTCCTAGCCTTGAAGAAGGCGCAAGTGCATTGTCAAGAGGGGGGAACCCCCCCCCCGCCCCCCGCCCATTTTTACTGGTCTTTTGTCAACAACCAACAACGCTGTATTCAATTTTCTTTAATTTTTTTTCCTAATAAGCTCCTGGGATTATCCTGGGCCTTCAAGGAAATCCATCAATAATACCCATTTGGAATTCCAAACCACAGTCACCATAACCTTTTGAGCTGACCTCTCTGCGTTGAATTTAACTAGGCCAGCAGATCTCCAGCAAATCATTGCTTTGATTAGACCTTTTTGTAAGGCACCAGAACAATACTAAACCAAATGTGTTACTGAGAGAACTTGTCTGCAGTCATCTACTGATTGCAGAGGCATGTTTAAACACATCTTGATTAGAATAAATCTGTGCATATATGAACTGGAATACTAGTGGTATTTTTTTTTTTTTTTTTTTGTTTCCTTCATTTTTTATTTTTTTTTATTTCCTTATCTCCTAGACAGTGCCTGGCACATAGTGGAAGCTTAATATATTTTTGTTAAATTAAATAAGAGAAATGCAGCTTTCACTCAAGCAAATAATTCACTTATACCCTTATTCTTTTATATACATTATATATAAGAAGTTCTGGTATTGTAGTGGTTACGAATTGGGCAGCTAACCTCAAGGTCAGCAATTCAAAACTACCAGCTGTTCCACAGGAGAAACATGAGACTTTCTGCTCCCGTAAAGATTTACAGCCTCAGAAACCCTATACAGGATCACTAGGAGTCAGAAATGACTCCACAGAGTACCACCATCACCATATTATGTATGTATATATACAGAGAATATTGTAAATTCAATGATCGCACTATCTTGAGGAACTTCTGCACAGAAGTTAATATGGCAATATATATATACTTAGAGGATAAAATGCATGTTTTCAAGTAGTCCAGATATTTTTAATTGACCTTCAACCTTAGTATCAAATGGGAGCTTTAAATATATCACTTTATAAAAACTCAAGCTTGTTTTGCTACTAGTAACAATTATAAATAATAGCTCTGCTGCCACTTCAATTAGAATTCAAGCATTTTGCAAATGCATAGCTCTTGCTCTTTTCAACTATGTTATTTTAAAAAAAGATAAAGAAAACATTAGCTCAAAATAACTAGTAATATTGTGTAGTATAAATTAGAAATTAATATACTTGTCAATTTTCATACCACATTTATAATTTACAAAACCTTTTATATTTGCAGAATGTTTTCAGTAAGCTAATACACAATTTCCTCTATTTATAGAAGAGGCAACCAGTTGCCTTCATTTTATAGGTGGTGGTTAGTGGTTATGTGCTGTTGGGTTGGTTCCGACTCATAGTGACCCTGTACAGGGTTTCCAAGGCTGTAAATGTTTACAGAAGAAAGACTCATCTTTCTCCTGTGGAGCAGCTGGTAGATTCAAACTGCTAACCTTGCAGTTTGCAGTTCAAGGAAGCCACTATGTTACCAGGACTCCTTCATTTTATAGGTAGAGAAACTTTATTTACACAAGTCCAGTGTTAGACTATTCAGCAAGTTCAAAGAAGAATGGGAGATTTCCAGTTCACTTGGCCATTTCAACTAAGGCAGGAAGATAATATAAAAATCAATCCTGGATGTGCTCATTATAGAATTTCACATTTAGTACAACATTATGAGAAGGTCACATATCTTACAATTTATTATTCTTATCAACTTTTAAAAGTAGGTTCTCCATTCACTAAGTGCTTAAAAATAAAATCAGAATTAAGATATCTCCTGTGTTACAAAATAGATATATTCTAATCCAGATTCCAAAAGTGTGTTCAACTTTCCAATTTAAGAATTTGCTGAGTAGAAAGAAAAATTACTGATGAGCGCTTACTAAATGAATGTTATGGTGACATTTTATGAAATATAAGTACATGCCATTGATCTCAAAAATGCCATGGTCAACAGTGATCACTTCCATGCTACAAATGACTAGAAAAACTTAGTTATGCCTAGTTTTTCTACATATTTGATATTTACCAGGCCTGTCTTTTGGTTGGTTACCACTTCTAAAATAAAGTGATTTTTTTTTTTTGCTAACATATCTCTTTAATTGATGGACTTTAAATGTTTTTGCTTTCTTTTGGAGAGGGGGGAGAGATTCTTTGTGTATGCATATGTGTCTTTAAACTGAAAGCTCTCCAATTTTTATTAACCACCAGTAAACCTTTGCATGTTATTAGGACTTTCATAATTCTTCATCCTATTTTCTGTCTCCATTGCTTAGACAATTCACTGGGGACAACACTTGAAGAGTGTGCTTGTCACAACTGGGGGAAAATTGTTCATTTCCATTGGGAATACATTTTATAATAGAATTAAAATTCATGGAGCACAAAACATATATAAAGCCAAAATACCAGGCAACCATAGGAAACCAAATTTAATGCAAGCAAGTATCTTGATATAGATATAAATGACTAGTCATTTATTCTTTGAGCAACTGTTCAGCAAGTGCCTACTTCAAGAAAAGCATCTTAGTAAATGCTAGAGATCAAAGAAAAATGTGGTAGCACTTTCTAAAGGAGGTCACTGTTAAATATGTCTAATAAACAAGATGTAGAGCATGACCTTGAATAAGTCTTTTACTACATGAAGCTGAAGCTACTAACTAATCTTTATTTTATGAGATATATTGGGAATGTTAATTTCATTGCCAAGAGTTATAATTTTTGTTTACTCAGACAATTATTAATAGGTACTTTTCTTACCACACTCAGTGATAGGTATGTAATATTCACTCACTCAGTAGAAAATTATTTTAATGCTTTCACTTTTAGCATCCAAGGTAAAGTGATTTGATATACTTCTAAGCATAATATTTCTGTATGTTTTATTGCTGATTTCTAATCCCACAAAATCAGTATGTATATTACTACTAAATATAATATTTTGCCCAATGCGGAAACGAAGAAGTTACATAAAAGCTTTCAAATTTCACATTTTACAATTTCTTCTTTACAGTTCTACTTCTCTCATTATAGGAATCCCCATATGTTATGTACAAGAAGAATCACGAAATGTTTGAAGGAAATGACAAGTATGAAGGCTACTGTGTAGATTTGGCATCTGAAATTGCAAAACATATTGGTATCAAGTATAAAATTGCCATTGTCCCTGATGGAAAATATGGAGCAAGGGATGCAGACACAAAAATCTGGAATGGGATGGTAGGAGAGCTTGTATATGGGGTAAGCAAATCACTTAATTGAAGAATTTACTTACATCAACCTGAAACATCTTTTCACTTGAGCACATATCAACATTAAAATGTCAACTGCTACTATTTTTGTGGGTTTTGTTCGTTTTCCTTTAAAAGTTGCAGCTACATTTAAAGAAACAGATACAATACTCAAATATTTCTCTATTATATTAATAATGCAATTTCCAAACAATGAATGAAACTAATGCTTGGTAACTTCAAAATCAGGAAAGAAATAATAATTCAATACTGCCTTATTAAATATGCATTGACACTGTATCTCTCTAATGACTATTTTCTTTGGTTTGATGCTACTATGACATACTATTTTGACAACTACAAAATTCAGTCCATTAGTTATTTATTGTTTAATAATTGCATGGGCAGATTTCATTCAATAGTATTCATCTGGACATTATTTTAAGTTCATTAATAGTCTGTTATTTTTATTACTTCTAAATATCTTTTAGGTAATTGGTGAATCAACCAGTATGCGGGGAATCCTTCAGTTATTTATAAATATTTAGTTATCTTTAAAATGTTTCAGTAGTCAATTATTTATAAAATATTCATCCATAATGTCAGATCCTTCCATTTCTGCTGAGCACAATAAACTTAAGCTATATGTGCTGCCATCATTTTATCATACATAATAGCAAAACCTAGAATTTATTCCAGAGCAGGTCTCACATGAAAGGCTGTAATGCCCTTTTCTTCTGTGCGCTAATGTTGAGTGCACACATTCATAGCCAAGGGCAAATACAACGGAGGACACTCCTGCCTGAATAAAAACAAGATCTGTCTGTTTAGCTACTAACATAGTGTCAAGATCAAACTGGCAGTAATCAAGTGCTTAGTGATGGTGACCCCTTATATATTTAGAAAGTCCAGAAGCCAAATCTACTGTTCACAGTAAACTTTATTCATTTTGTAGCAAATTTAAAATAGCATACACTTGAAATGTATTCTGAAATTTCCTACCAGCTAAATATGCTGAATTCATGTTACAGATTTCATCTCCAAAGCATACTGTTTCATGAATCCTCACAAGACCTCTTTAAAGTGTGAAATTAAATAGAGAGTCATCATGTCTTGGGAACAACAAATAGGTAGAAAGATTTAGAATGCAACTGGAGTCCATAGAAGGACCCATTTTTTGAAGCAGAACTTTAATAGTTTCATGTTTCTGCTTTTCAGATCATGAAGCAAGGAATAGTCTCTGACCTGTACACTACAGCAGCTCAAACCTCAGCAGAAAGAGAAAATTATTTGACATATAATGGTTTTATATCCCTGAGAAAAACCACTGACTGATTGTTACTGTTGACTGGTTAGGTAACTTTATATGAGAGGGGAAATGCAGTTTTAAAAACAGAATAAAGAAGTATTTCTCTACAGAGTTCATGGACAATTTCATATTGAGCTGTACTGTCTAATCTAAAATTTTAAGATATATGGTTTCTAAAACATGTGGTCCTTGGTAATATACATTTGATACAGTAAGAAAATTTTAAACATGAACAGCATCCAAGCTGTTAGAACTAAAGTAATTCATTTTCTTCACAAAGCACTGTTGAGTATTTAAACTGAAAACAAAAATCACACTTAGGTTATCAGTTTGGATGGTGTAACTAACCTGAGCAAATCTCTAGGGTATTTGTTACACAGGAACAAGAGGAATCCCTACCTCTTGAGCAGCCCAGAATCACCCCATTACAAATGTTCTGATCACATTTTATGGGGAAGGAGGACTGTATAAGTATGGAGAAAATGATTTGAAGGGAGAGTAGCATATTGAGTGAAAAATCTTATTAGTAATATACGTCACAGTAACAGAATGACCTAAAGGTGCACCACTCTCAGAGCGAGAGAGATGCTGGTGTAGTGTTTATTAATGCTCAGTCAGCAGTCTGTCAGCCAAGGTTTAAATACACCCATGTCTAACACTGTAATTATTCACCTTTGTCCAAAAAGAAATCTAATTCCATATCTTTCCACCAATTTGGTACATCCCAGTCTGGTATTTACAAAGACTGTGCTCACTAGTGATTTCTGTTTTGCTTTTCCTTTTTTATAGCTAACATATAGAATAATGCTTAGTTCCCTGAGCCCTAGATAATATTCTCTTCTACAGGCAACTCCCTTCTCTTCCATAGGCGAACACCTGTTCAACTACTAAATGGTCCATTTTGAATCCATTTTTTTAACTTTGCTTTTTGTAAGCTTTGTTATTGCCATTGTTATTAATAAATGTCTGTGAAATATTCACACGTGGTCTCAACATGATGTCATGTGGTGACTCAGAAACTCAGAACTTTCTCACGTTCTCAGATTCTTTAGCCTATCACACCTGTGCAACAAGTCTATATTAGAATTTATCTCCTATGACACACTAATATAGGGCCTTCTCCTGGGACTTGCCATAATTTGTTGTTGCTGGGTGTTTTGTTTTTCAAAAACTAAGAGACTGTTACTCAAAGTGTGTCCCATAGGTCATCAGCAACAGAATTATCTGTGGTGAGTGTTAATATGCTGATTCCTGAGCCCCACTCCATTGGAGCTCAAAAGTCTAAATCTCTGACCAGGGACACAATAGAAGGTCTTGGATAGAATAGAAGGAAAATGCAGAACAAAACTCAAATTTCTAATAGTGGCCAGATCTCCTGGACCAATAGACACTAAAGGCTCCCCAAGACAATTTCCCTAAGATATTCTTTGGTCTTGGAACTGAAGCCATTCCTCAAGATCACATTTCATCCAAATAATAATAAATTGCCTTATAAAATAAGCAGTATCCCAAATCAAAGATGAGCAGGCAATAAGAGGAAGGGAAGCCAGATCAATAGAAAGAGGACAAACAGAATGGAAATAATGAGAATCTGACATATTGTGAAAATTGTAACCAAAAAATTTCTAAGTTCAAACATAATTCCCTGAGTAAACAAAAGTTTACATAAAATGTAATATTAAAAAGAAAATAAACCAAATCTCATCAAATTCCCACAGGAAATATTTTCACTCTAAATTTTGGTAATCACTTAGAGAAAACCGAACAAGGTGCCACCAAAATTCCTTTTGTTAGCAAAAAAAGTCCACTTATTTACTGGTCTCTTACAAAGCACTCATTAATCTCAGACTTTAAGTGTGCCCTTCATTGAACACTGGTCTTCACCATCTTCAATCACATTTCTCTGCCCCCTGTATCTAGAATTTATGTGCTGAGTATACCTTCTTTCTTCTTATGTTTCTTGTTTATCAAAGGTTGTTTTTCCTTGTTAGTGATAACTTCTGTAACTGAAAAAATTACAGGAGAGGCAACAGTGAAAGGATGCCCAATCTACCTACTGTTGGGAAAGCTGGACAATGGCTTGAAGAGTAATAGTTTTGTATCACCTCATCACTCAATATAGCAAATAAATTATTGCAGGATTGTTGTTGTTGTTGTTGTTGTTGTGAGGTGCAATTGAGTCAGTACCGACTCATAGACACCTTATGAACAGCAGAACGAAACACTGCCCAATCCTGGGCCAACCTCACTACTGTTGCCACGCTTGAGTCCATCAGTGCTGCCACTTGGCCAATTCATCTCGTTGGGGTCTTCCTCTTTTTCTCTGACCCTCCACCTTACCAAACATGATATCCTTCTGCAGCACTGGTCCCTCCTGACAATATGTCTGAAGTATGAGAGATGTAGTTTAGCCATCTTGGCCTCTAAGGAGCACTCTGGCTGAACTTCTTCCAAAACGGATATATTGGTTCTTTTGGCAGCCTATGGCACTTTCAATATTCTCCTCCAACACCATAACTCAAAAGCATCAATTCTTCTATGGTCTTCCTTACTCACTGTCCAGCTTTCACATGCATATGAGGTTATTGAAAATACCATGGCTTGGGTCAGGCGCATATTAGTCCTCAAGCTGACATCTTTGCTCTTCAACATTTTAAAGAAGTCTTGTGCAGCAGATTTGCCTAATGCAATAAGTCATTTGATCTCTTGACTGCTGTTTCTGTGAGTGTTGATAGTTGATCCAAGAAGAATGAAGTCCTTGACAACTTCAATCTTTTCTCCGTTGATAAGAATGTTGTTTATTGGTCCAGTGGTGAGAATTTTTGTGTTCTTGACATTGAGATGTAATCCATACTGAAGGCTGTGCTCTTTGATCTTGATCAGTAAATGTTTTAAGTCCTCTTCACTTTCAGTAAACAAGGTTGTATCATCTGCATATCTCAGACTGTTAATGAGTCTTTCTCTAATCCTGATGCCACGTTTTTCTTCATATAACCCAGTTTCTCAGATTATTTGCTCAGCATACAGATTGAATAAGTATGGTGAAAGAATACAACCTTGTCACACACCTTTCTTAATTTTGAACCATTCAGTGTTCCCATGTTCTGTTTGAACAACTGCCTCTTGGTCCATGTACAGATTCCACATGAGCACAATTAAGTGTTCAGGAATACTCATACTTCACAATGTTGTCCATCGCTTTTCATGATCCATACACTCAAAAGCCTTTGCGTAGTCAATAAAGCACAGATAAGCATCTTTCAGCCAAGATCCATTGGACATCAGCAATGATGTCCCTCGTTCCACGGCCTCCTCTGAATCCGGCTTGAACCTCTGGAAGTTCTCTGTCAATGTTTCTGTATTACCTTTAGTAAAACTTTACTCACATGGGATATCAAAGAGATTGTCCAATGATTTCCACATTCCATTGGGTCACCTCTCTTTGGAATGGGCACAAATACAGATCTCTTCCAATCAGTCAGCCAGATAGTCGTCTTCCAAATTTATTGGCAGAGATTAGTGAGTGCCTCCTGTGCCACTTCATTTTTTGAAAGACTTCCATTTTTATTCCATCAATTCCTGGTGCCTTGTTCTTTGCCAATACCTTCAATGCACCTTGGACTTCCTCCTTCAGGATCATTGGCTCTTGATCATATGCTACCTCTTGAAATGGTTGAAAATTGACCATTTCTTTTTGGTACAGTGACTCTGTGTATTCCTTCCATCTTCTCTTGATGCTTTCTGCATCATTCAATAATTTGCCCAGAGTATCCCTCAATAAGGAAAGTCAAGGCTTGAATTTTTTCTTCAGTTTCCCCAGCTTGAGAAATGCTGAGTGTGTTCTTCCTTTTTGTTGTTCTGATTCCAGCTCTTTGCACATTTTGTTGTAATATTTGGCTTTATCTTCTCAAACTGATCTTTGATATTTTCTGTTCAGCTGTTGGACCTCCTCGTTTCTACCATTTGCTTAAGCATCTCTACTCTGGAGAGCAAGTTTCAGGGTCTATTCTGACATCCATTTTGACCTTTTCCTTCTTTCTTGTCTTCTTAATGACTTTTTGCTTTCTTCGTGTATGATGTTCTTGATGTCATCCCACAACTCTTCTGGTCTTCAGTCTTTAGTGTTTAATGTATCAAATCTGTTCTTCAGATGATCTCTAAATTCAGGTGGGATATATTCAATGTCATGTTTTGGCTCTCCTGGAATTGTTTTCATTTTCTTCAACTTCAGTTTGAATTTGCATATGAGTAATTGATGGTCTGTTCCACAGTCTGCCCCTGGCCTTGTTTTGACTGACGATAGGGAGCTTTTCCATCATCTCTTTCTGCAGATGTAGTCAATTTGATTTCTATGTTTTCCATCTGGTGAGGTCCATGTGTATAATCATCTCTTATGTTGTCTAAAGAAGGTATTTGAAATGAACAAATCATTGATTTTGAAGAAATCTATCATGTGATTTCCAGCATCATTTCTATCACCAAGATCATTTTTTCCAACTACTGATCCTTCCTCTTTGCTCCCGACTTCTAATTGCAAGATTAGAAGTACCAAATAAAACATAGTCTTGAGGATTTTCTAAGCATGAAACCCAAGACTAAAAACACAGAAAAGATCATTTTATATGACTACATAAAAATTTTAAAATGTATATATTCCAGTAAGATATTATGAGCTGAGTTTTGATAAAGGATCCCTGTTGAATCGGCAAGCATTTAGTTGCTTAGTTGTTCAACAAAAGATTCGTGGTTTGAACTCGTGTAGAGGCTCCCCAAAAGAAAGGCCTTGTGATCTGCTTCCATAAAGATGAGGGCAGTCAAGAAAAGCCAGTGGGACACTTCTACTCTTCACTTGGGAATGACTGTGAGACAACATCAACTCAACACCAGCTAACAGCAAAAAAAAAAACAAAAAGTTATAAAACAAAGTAATTAATGAATAGGGGAAAGATTTGCTACTTGCATGGAAAAGTTAACATTTTAACAGACTTTAAAGTGCTTGTGAATTAGTAAACAAATAAGAATACTTCATATGGAAAATGGAAGAAAATTATGATAGGTAAAACATAAAAGAAGCAAAAGTGACTGCTTATGTAAAAATTGGTTGCTGTTATTGTTAAGTGCCATAGAGTCAGTTCTGACTCAGCAAACCTGCATAGAGTTTCCACGAAACGACCGCTCCAGTGCTTATCCTACAGTGCTACACCAGGATCCACATCTATAAGTAGTTTCTTATAGAATTATCAATTTCATAAATTGAATTCAATTCTATTTATTATTCAAATTTAAGATTTAAATGACTTCAAAATAATACAATGAGATATAATTTTCTTTGTAGAAAATTGGCAAAGATAAGACAAAACAAAAAAAAAATACAAAATGAGGGCATCCTTAGTTGAAGGCTACAAGTATTTTCACATAGTGCTATAGTAACAGTACAAAATGATGTGATCTTTCTGAGTGAAGGTTGGACATCACATACCATGAGAATTAAAGAAGGTCAATGCCATTTAGACCATCAGCTTCATTTCCAAGAATTTATACTAAATAACTGAGATGCATGCAAGGATTTATTTTCAAAGATGTTCATAGAATCACTATTTAAATTGTATATAAATGGAAATAATCTATATCCCACAAAATAAGAAATCAAGTTGGTTCCTACTCAAAGTGACCCTATGAATAAAAGAACAAAATACTTGCAATTATTTTGGTTGAGCCCATTGTTGCTGTTAATTCTTCTTGTTGGGGGTCTTCCTTTTTTTCCACTAACTATCCACTTTATCAAGCATGACACCCTTCTCTAGGGACTGGTCCCTCCTGACAACATTTTCAAAGTACTAGAGATGAAGTCTCATCATCCTCAGCTTCTAAGAAGCACTCTGACTGTACTTCTTCCAAGACAGATTTGTTATTTTGACACTCATAATTCTTCTACATCACCATAATTCAAATGCATTGATTCTTCTCCAGTATTTCTTATTAATTGTCCAACTTTCGCATGCATATGAGGTTATTGAAAATACCATGGCTTGGGTCAGGTGCACCTTAGTCCTCAAAATGATCTCTTTGCTCTCTAACACTTTAAAGAGGTCTTTTGGTATTCTTTGCTTGTTCTGTTTTTTTATACTAATTGTTTATAGGTTGTTAGTGGGGCACTTGTGTAATAAAAATTATACAACTAGTAATAACCATGGAGAAAATACGGATCGCCCAGCAATGGTCCTGTGTTTTAGCTACATGGGTAAATGAGGGGCGCTAAGCAGACACACGTTTATGGTCAATTCTCAACCCCTCAGTGAACCATAGAGCAGCCAACATCCCTGCTCCATCAGACCCCTCCAATTGTCCTTCTATTAAGTTGCTACCATTTCAAGCCAGATCTTGAGCATTTGTAGAAGTGAATGTGAGAACAGCAGCTTCTATGTAAGAACATATGTGTCTAAGTGTGTTTCATTTTGTGGCCATGTATTTTCCTTTTACAATAAATCATTCTACATTTTTTTTTCATTTGTAGATCATTTGACAGTTCACAAAGGTTTTTGCTGTTCTTTGTTCCTTGTGATTATTGCGGTGGTATGATTTCATTGAGCCGCTCAGGTTCAAATCTCAGAGCTGACATGATAGGGAAAACTGACCTCTTTGAGCTTTAGTTCAACATCTGTGAAACAATGCTAAACATAAGATTGTCATGAGGATTAAATAAGAAGAAATTTAAAATAGATATGTGTCAGGCACATAAACCTTCAGTAAAAGTTCACTGTTGTTTTATTAAGATTATTAATATATAAACATAGTCACAACATGAAGAAAATAGGAAAATATCTTATTTTGAAGATATAAAAAACAGGCTCAGGAAATTTGACCAAAATCACAGAACTAGGAAAATTTAAGACTGGTGTCTTAAGCTCATAATATCTGAGAACTGAATCTAATGTTTCCAAAATCTCTTTTTTCAACTGCAAGTAGAAAAATCAAAGTATGTGAATAGCAAGAACCAAATGCCAATTTCCAGATTTTTGTGTGTGCACTGAGTTGGGAAATATTTTCAAACAACCGACTTTATTTTATCATGCAAACACAGACTTTATTATTGGTTTTCTCATAATTGGAAAGGAATAAAAAAGAAAAGACTGTTTTGAAATTTTCAATTCATAATATTAAAGGGATGGCCAAGTAATGAATAAGTGGCAACTTTCCAAATGAAAGAGAAAGGCTGCAATGAAGCAGTTTTCCTGGCGAAGAAATTCAGAAACTCAGCCATACAGAAAGGCTCTTAAGTCTTCTTAGTCTGGTTCCAGATCCTTAAACACTAACACGGTTATTTGAGCTAACCTTACTTCTATTATGTCCTCTCTGGTTCTTTGTTACTCTTCCTTATATCTAATTATGAGTACCAATAAAAATGTTTTGTGTAATTTCAGTGATATATTTTATTATAAAAACAAATCTACTGTTCTTCTTTGTATTTATCATGGGCCTTATTCATTTTCACCCTCTTCCCCAAAAAAAAACTAAAAAATGTGGAATGAATACATAATTGAATAATTTTGAATGGAAAAATCCAGTGCTAATTGCTTCATAAAACCCACTGACCTCTGTGCTCTCTCATGTGTCTTTTCTCTTATAGAAAGCAGAGATTGCTATTGCTCCTTTGACAATCACTTTGGTTCGAGAGGAGGTCATTGACTTCTCTAAGCCCTTCATGAGTTTGGGGATCTCTATTATGATCAAAAAGCCTCAGAAATCTAAACCAGGAGTGTTTTCCTTCTTGGATCCTCTGGCCTATGAGATCTGGATGTGCATAGTCTTTGCCTACATTGGGGTCAGCGTGGTCTTGTTCCTAGTTAGTAGGTTTAGTCCATATGAGTGGCACACGGAAGAGCCAGAGGATGGAAAGGAAGGACCAAGTGACCAGCCTCCCAATGAGTTTGGCATCTTTAACAGCCTCTGGTTTTCCCTGGGTGCTTTTATGCAGCAAGGATGTGACATTTCACCCAGGTTAGTTTCAAAATACTTAAATTCTTCACCCATTTACTTTTAAGTGTTATGCAGAACATCTCTCTACCTGCTCTTTGTTCTTCATCAATTCCCTAGTAATTCTAAGTATGTTGAAAATCTTCTTATGTATTCTTTCCTGGGACACAGAGAATTCTTTGAAATGCCAAGAAAGTTTGTAATTCCCAAATTAACCTATGTATATTCATACCCAATTCCTATCAAATTAGCACAAAATATGAATACATTATAAAGATTAACATTTCCAATAGCTACGTAACTTATGCAACCCATCAAAAATTTTGAAATTATTTCCTATTAGTATTAGTGCCATCGAGTCGGTTCCAACCCATAGCAACCTTGTATAGGGTTGCCGAGGAGCAGCTGGTGAGCTTGAACCACAGACCTTGTTGTTTTATATAGCAACCCATAAACAAGCTAATCAGTAGGCAAAGAACCAACAATGTTAATACTATGTTTGTTGTTATTTTGAAAGATTTTTCAATATCATTGAAATCATGGCTCCTTACCTATGCATGGCACCAAGATATTATTCAGGTATGCAAAGAGACAGTCAATTTCCTGTTGCAAGAAAAAAAAGTCAAATTTCTCCCAAAGATAAAGTAGCTGAAGGAGCCAGGGGGAAAAAAAGCAAGATGTTAAATTTAATTAGTCACAAAAATATTAATGTGTTTTAAAGCAAGGTATGATTTCTCAAACAATAAGATTTGGGGCACAATGCAAGCTGTATTTTTTAAGACCCAGGAAAACAATAAATGTACTTAAATTTCTAATAAGAATTTCAATTAAATAACTTTTTGGTTAATGATGTGAGAAGAAAGCAAAACAAAACAAGTAATGGTTTTTAAAAGTAAGAATTAATCAATTGTATTGATATTAAGTTACAGCCGGTGGGTGCCATTTGTCTCTATTATGTAATAAAGGTGAAGATGTTTAATTTGGAAATGCTATGGAAATAATGAAATTATTCCTCAAATTTAAAATAAAAGTTAAAAGCAATTGTTGTTATATGCCGTCGAGTCAGTTCTGACTCACAGCTATCTCCGAGAGAACACAAAAGTTCGTCTTTCTCCCAAGGAGCCACTGGTGGACTCAAACCAGGGACCTTCCAGTTCACAGGGCAGTACTTATTGTATGGAGCCACTGCGCTCCCATAAAAGCAATAGATACTAGAATTTTAAATTGGTGAGTGGTTAATGAGGAAGATCAATTGTGCGCTGGCCCTAGGTTTTTTATTCAGCCATTCTCACTATTCCCTATGTAATCAGACTCACCCACACCCCCTTGATAGCCAGAGAAAGGGTGATGAGAGAAAAATGTTATGTTATAAATCTCTGTGGTAACAGAAAGCCTCATCTTTCTCCTGTGGAACAGCTGGTAAGCTCGTTCTGCTAACTTTGAGGTTCACAGCCCAGTGTTTGTCATACAGAGCCACTGCGCTCCCGCCAAATTTATACCAGTATGTAAAGATGCCTTGTTCTTGCTGTTGTTTAGTGTGGTCAAAACAGTCCCAACACATAGCCACCCATTTAGGGTTTCCAAGGAGCGGCTGGAGAGTTTGAATTGCAGACCTTGTGGTTCAAACCAACCGTGTGGTCTAGTATTTATCCCACAGTGCCTTGGGATGTAGTTTATCCTCCAATAAGATCAGAAAATGGCATAACATACTAAAAAATAATAATGATCCTGAACTCTGGTCACTTGGAGATCAATATAAGGCCCTCTTATTGTGCAACCTCATATGCCCATTCATCCCTGCAGGGTTCTGAGTGGAATTCAAAGCAGATTCTCTCCTTCAATCTTAGAAAGGCATCTATCAACTGGTATCAAACCTAAAAGTCCACCCATTGCTGTCTTTTATATATTTTATATGTTCCTAAGAAAGAAACCCATGGGAGAAAGCTAAGGCTGTCTGCTCCCATAAAGATTTATGGTCTCGGAAACCCTATGGAGCACGTCTACTCTGTGTTAGAGGGTCACTATGAGTCAGAATCGATTGGACTGCAGTGTGTGGGGTTTAAGAAACAAATCTGTGATTTATCCATGGTGCTTTGCTTCCTTCTCTCATCATTTATAGGCTACTTTCTAATTTTAGAGATACTAAAATATCATGGGGGGACTATCAATGAATTTAAGTGTATATTTCTCTTCTGGAACTAAAATTCATTACAGCTTCCCATTTCTGCCTATTCAAAAACAAAAGGAAAATCTGTCTATATTGTCAAGGATACATTAAACATAACACAAAACAAAACAATAAATAGTTCAGAAATACTACACATATTCTGGAGTTGTCCATAAGAAATTAAAATGATAAATTATTGTTCATATATGATGAATTGATGATATATCTTTTCGTTCTCTGTGTTGGTTCAAAGAAGGAAAATGTGCATTATGTTATCCATGTTTAGATCCCTCTCAGGTCGAATTGTTGGAGGCGTTTGGTGGTTCTTTACACTCATCATTATATCATCTTATACTGCTAACCTCGCTGCTTTCCTGACCGTTGAGCGAATGGTCTCCCCCATAGAAAGTGCAGAAGACCTGGCCAAACAAACAGAAATCGCCTATGGAACATTGGATTCAGGGTCAACAAAGGAATTCTTCAGAGTAAGTTAGGGGAGAAACTAACAATGAAATGTTCATCATTTTTAATTTGGGCAATTTTATAATTATATTATGGTCTATAGCTATTACAGATTTTTACAAGCATAATGTTGACTGTAATGCTAATACTTGGATTTTATAATCAATTTTATTTCATAAAACTAATTGATTCATTCATCTTGTAAGAAGGACCAGTGTCAAGGAATAAAAAAAAAAAGGAGATGGTAGGTATGACAACTTATAATATTAATTATCAAAGAATTTCAGTGTTAATAATGATATGATGATACTGAATCAAGCAAGGTGTATGTATGCTTTAGGGCTAAGAATGTAAAATAAAGCAAGACTTTATTTTATTAAAAAAAATAGATTTAACTTGCAGCATCTGAAATACAAAATCTTAATTGTAGGCGATAGTGCCTGTATGAGTTATATTGTTCTATAATCTATTCCATAAGAATTTATTTTAAATCAACATACTTTCTCACAAGATAATGGCTGCAAGACTACTGGGTTTGGTCAAGTCTATTAGACACTGTATAACATTTGGTTTGGGCTGATTTCTCTGGTTTTGTAGATATAACTGTTCAAATTGATATAATTGCATTTCATATAAGGATAACTGTTTTAACTTGCCATCAGAATGGCAGATTTTTTATTTAGTTGTTGCATTATGTAGATGAATTTTTTGATCAGTGAGTTCTCTCCTCAGGTTCTACTTACATGCAGAGATATGGATTTAATAACATCTAATCAGATACAGGGTTCATTTTCTGACTTCAGAACCAAGATTAAAGAGCAGTCAAAGTGATATCTTCAGAAATACCTAAGTAGAGAATAACAAACACATTTTATATTTCATTTCAATTGCTTAAAGATTGGGATATATAACATTTATTTTTTAAAATAAGATTTGATTATAGCATCCTAATGTATTACAGATGCTTATATAATACTAAAAGGAGCACTGGTAGCATAGAGGTTACAAGTCGAGCTGCTAACCTTAAGGTCAGCAGTTCGAAATTACAAGCCATTCTGTGGGAGAAAGATGAGGCTTTCTGCTCCTGTAAAGATTTACAGCCTCGGAAACCCTGTACAGGGTCGTTATCAACTGGAACCGACTCCCCGGCACCCCTCCACCACCACCACATAATACTAATTCAAGTATCAATCATTCAGAAAGTCCGTCAACCAAGTACCTAGCAATAATTTGGAGTCTTATAAGTAGACATAATTTAAAATGTCTAAATAACATTTAAAAAAATGTTTATAAATGTTTTCCAAACCTGTGGCAGTTATGAAAGTGGATTTTATTAACAATGTCCAGTGGATAAACTTACCGGATAAACTCTTTTTTACATAGTGGGTACAATCTAATCTGTAAAACTCAATAATAGAAATATACTGCCTAACACATTTTAGCATAACTTCAATACCTTACTGGAAATCTGTGAGCAAGTGCTTCCACCCAAAAGTAAGTAGGTAAGATTTTAATAATTTCATCTAGAAACTGTTCTGCATCCACATAAAAAAAAATACAAATTTGTGTGATCGCTTGCATTTTAATGAAAACTGTTGCCTGATTTTCATTTGAATAAATATTTGCTGAACAATCATTTTTCCTGGAATGATGAATGGAAAAAGAAATGTCCTATCCCTGAAAAATCCAAAACTAACTTATTGTCAAGGTTTTCAGCATCAAGCACACTGAAAATATTTATTTTTAATCTTTATAGCATTAAAAAAAAAATTACCCAAATTCTAAAAACTGGTGAGGAAGATAAGAGAATACATTGATAAGAAAAGCAGAAATGAGAAAAGCTGCTACTTAGATTTATACATCCATACATGCTGTGCAATCTCCAGGCCCTGTTTTCATTCTTTCTCACCCAAATTCAGTTTTAAAATTGGAACATTTTTACAAATATAGATATTCATTGTTGCAGAACACTTTGAACCCTAATGGGACAAGAAAATTATTCTCCCTGGCAGTAGACACTCAAGCATGCATAATTCCAAGTTCTCTGATAAAAATCTCATTCATTTCTAACCCTGTCTTCTCCCTCCTCTTCCCATAAATGATGACCTGGTTTAAATAAACCATTTGTCTGACAGGTTGAGGAAACGGAACGTGAAGGGTATTTTTGTACTTGTCAAAAACATTTCCTAGTAGGAACACACTAATGGTACATCTGTCAGCTTCACTAAGCTGCCTCGGGCAGTGGCCTATACTCAGAGCTTCAAAAAATGTCAGCGTTATAATCAGTTGGAAAAAGAATTAGGCCAGGGGGGAAAATTGCATCTAAATTCAACTGTTGCCTTAATTTTGCCCCATTATAAAGCTGATTATGCTTCATGTTCTGGGCACCTTGCTAAGCATAAAGATGCATTTAAAGAAAGTTTGTACTTGTCACTTAATGAGAGACTTACTGTTTAGGTACTTTTATATATTATACACTTTATACAAATACACTGATTTGCATTTCACAGCAAATTTTATCCAGGGCCTTCCTTAGACATCAGTGAAATTGGGAATGTATAAATGCAGTAGATTATTATCTAAGGGTTCATAATCTTATCAAATAATGCATTTATGAGATCTTACTAAAGCTTCAGTCTTACTGCACAACCTACTGAAAGCAGTAACTCACCTGATAACAATATAATGTGTAACTAAAATGAATGGCGTTTATGTTGTTTTGCAGCAAGCAGAAATATCAAAATACGTCATATCGGGGAAATTAAAAGGACGGCACATTTTTAAAACTTCAAGAGCTGTCTAAATTACCGAAACAGTGTTTTAAATTAGATCGTTTTTCCATGTTATCTGTTCTCTGTCATAGGCCATATTCACTTCCCAAAACTGATTTTTTAGTGCTTATCACAGCTTAAATTCTTAGGAATTTAAAAGCTCCACTACCACTGTCCTTATGAGCTTGCTAGAGTTCCTGGTGGTTCTGTGGTTTAAGTGCTGAACTGCTAACTAAAAGGTCAGTGGTTTGAATCTACCAGCCACTCCGTGGGAGAAATATATGGCACTCAATATCCTGCTTGAAACTTAATCTTCATCTTAGAAAACAACCCAGCATGCACACTGCATGGCAATCAAATCTCTTGCCTGACAGAGTTGGAAACAATGGTGCCCTGCTCAAAGACGGTAGTTGACCACACCATTTTGAGTGTATGTCACTTTGCACGGTCGTGGCAATAATCCCATCTTCAGACCTGTAACTTTTCCTGTTCAGTTATCATCCCAGGTGCTCACATTTTGTAAATTCCTGTCGATCCCAGTTTGCTTTGTTGGTCATGACTAAATTAGTTCACACCACTTTGAAGTCCTGTGTAAAAGATGTACAGCTATGGAAACTTTGTGGGTCTTTATTGAGTCAGAACTGACTTAATGACAATGGATTCAGTGAGGAGTTATGTATGAGCTTTCAGGGCCTGCAGAAATTTATTCATTTTAGCATGTCTCATCAAATTATAAATATTTGCTCATCCTCAATCCTTAACAAGTACCTTCTTGCAGTCCCAGATAAGGTACAGGGATATTATTTCCTGTTGTACCTCACCTTAATTTCTGCCCTCTTCACTATGCGTGTGATCTTATCTAAGCCATATCTCTTCAAATCATAATTTCTAAATACTTATATGGTGATAAACCATGATAATATTTTTCAAAAAAAAAAGTTTCCTTTATCTTTTCTGTATACTCTACTAGGAATCTGTATTTTAACATTTTTATTATACCTAAGGTCTACCAAATTCAGGATAATTATAGTGTGCAATATTCCTTCTTCCAGTAAAAGGAACTAATTTCTTTTTAAACTCCTTTGCCCTTAAGGTATAATTAATTCAATATATTTAATAAAATTACAAAGTAATATTCTATATACTAATATTATGTTGTTGTTGTTAAGTGCCATCGAGTCGGTTCCGACCCATAGCGACCCTGTACAGGGTTTCCGAGGTTGTAAATCTTTACGGGAGTAGAAAGCCTCATCTTTCTCCCACGGAATACTAATATTATAGATAATTATATTATCTATGTATTCTTGGTGTGGTGCTGTAGTATAAGCACTGAACTGGCAACTGTATGGTTGGAAGTTCAAACCCACTGGATTCACCTTGGAACCTACTCAACAGCACTTAATAACAACAGCCACTCCTGGTGAGGTGCTAGGATCAACATTGGACTGAGAACCACAAGGTCAGCAGTTCAAACCCACCAGTTGTTCCTCAGAAACCCTGTACAAGGTCGCTATGAGTTGGAACCAACTCAACAGCATTTAACAACAACAGCAACAGATATGGTAGAATATATAATACTCAAAAACTATCAATGCCCCAAAGATATTTTATTAATTTTAAAAGAAATGAATCATGTGCTTTAATAGCCTGTTTATTCTAATGTTAAGTAATGTGAATCATTATTCTTTTTTTCCATTTTGCTTATCTGTTTCCTATTCCTTTAATAAACTACTGAACAGTAACTGGAAAATTGCCAAATAAGTAGACTAAATGTGTATTGATGATTTTCATATTTTTAAAAATAATTTACCAAGTGTTTTAATTAAACTAATGTTTGGATAGGTTTTATTTCTTGTACTTTAAATGTAATACACATAGTTAGGTATGTAACTTACATGGTAATCTAAAGCTTTCATGAGGGAAACTCTCAAGTAATGAATATAAGGAACAGAGATAATATGTCTAAAGGATTTGTTTACCAAAACTTTTGCAAATTTGAAGCTATCAGAATAGATGTTAATAGCACTCTATCAAGTGACCCAGAGTTTTCCATTTTTCATAAATTAAAACTTATAAAATGGATGTTTGTTCCCTGGAACAGAATATCTAATTTTAAAGATGGAATGAATAAGACCTTGCTAGTGGATCCCACAGTTAAGGGGTCCAAATCCAGGTACTCCTCTGTCCTTGATATCCTTGCAATTGGAGCATAGTGTTGCATGGATTTTCTGTAAGGATACTTGTAGTGTAGCCAGAAGTGACCTGGCATTGTCTACATACACACCCACACACATGTGCATGCACTTATTTTTATGTCTTGAGTGCTGATGACATAAAACATCTCATAGGGCACTATAGGATGTCAATTTCTCATCTTGATATGTAGTAGCATTTGAATATACATAAAGAAAATATATACAAATAATATACTGTGTGATTTATTATTTTGATTTATTAAGTACTAATTTATTATCTTATAAAGCCAAAATTTAGCATCCCACTTAAGAGTTTTTTCTTTATCTGTCTGAGAAATTTGCCTTTGCCAAAAAATATGTATTCATAAGTTTCTTATTCAGGATATTTATTGATTATTAATAGGCCTGCTTCTTGTTAGAGTCCATATTTTGGGAAATAAAGGAAGTCCAATATAATATATATACTACTAAGGTTTGGAGTCTTGGTGTGGTGCTGCAGGATAATGCAGGGTAACGGAAGGTTGGTTTTGAACCACAAGATTCAAAAAAGATCAGTGGTTCAAACCCACAAGCTATTCCTTGGAAATTCTAGACAGGGTTTCTATGAGTTGGAACAGACTCATTGGCATGTAACAACAAAAGTGGGTTTCGCCACACATAGAAACGTAAGTGTGAATGGAGTCTCCACTACATTTGGATCCAGAGCTAAAATGTCAGCACTCTGTAGTTTAACAAATACAGATAGAAGTCTGCATGTACCATTGTATTATCAAACATCAAATGGGATTCAAGATTTTCAGTCTTATTAAATGTGTCTTTTGGAGCCATTGGAGTTCTTTTGTATATTTGATTTCTTGTAGATATTACTGTTATTGCCATTGTTGTTGTTGTTGTTAAGTGCCATCGAGTCAGTTCTGACCCATAGCGACCCTGTACAGGGTTTCCGAGGGTGTAAATCTTTACGGGAGTAGAAAGCCTCATCTTTCTCCCGCGGAGCGGCTGGTAGTTTCGAACCGCTGACCTTAAGGTTCGCAGCCCGATTCATAACCACTATGCTACCAGAGCTCCTGTTATTGCCATTAAGTGCCATCAAGTAAGTTCTGACCCATAGCTACCCTGTGTAGAGTTTCTAGGGCGTGACTGGTATATTTGAACCATTCACCTTGTGGTTAGCAAGTCAAGTGCTTATCCTACAGCATCACATTAAAGATGTGTTTATATATTTATATACACATTTCTTAAAATCTAAGGTGAATTCAGGTGCCCCCAAAAAAGAAAAGAAAAGATCTAGATTAATTAAATTGAATGAGTAATGTACATAGAGGCCATGTGGACAGAAGTCATTTTATAAAAATTAAAAAGTTTCTGGACTGAAGTTAGGGGGTTTTGATGACAGACTCTCCTACCATACAGATGTGGAAATAATTTCTCTTTACAGTTCAATATACATTGTGTTCTTGTCAGAAAATATCTAAAAATGTATTGCTAGACTTAGAGTTTGATTCGCCTGTTAGAGATACTTAGACTGCAAACAGTTGCTGATATATCCTCCTATTTTGATGTTCAACTACTGGCTTGATACGAATCGCACTTTTGTGTGCATGTTAGAATGGTTTTCACTAAAATTTTGAAGCATGAAAATATACAAATAAAACAATATAACTTATTTGTTGTAACTCAGGTATAGTAATAAAAGTTGGACAGAGTTAAAATCAAATCATATCTGGTCTTTATCAAGTTTTCCATGACTGTGGTATAAAACAAGATCAAAAATGTTAAGTCTTCATAGCATCCTATGTTAGAGAGACTATGTTGCTACTTAAGAAGTTGAGTGTGGTGATTGAAAAAATGGCAAAGAGATAATATGACTGCGCTCTTCTTCAAATATCACTTTTAAATGTGTATTATTTCAGTCATTTCATTGCATTTTTTAAAAGGTCGTTCTCTAATTTGAGAAGATGAGTATTAGTATTTGGCAAAGTAGAGTTAGAGGGCAATGGAAAGGTATTAAAAGGCTTTTTATCCTGCTCTTGATTCACTCTATATTAATGTGCTGTTTCCTTCTTTTCCTGTATTTAATTTTATTTTCATTTCCTCCAGAGATCAAAAATAGCAGTGTATGAAAAGATGTGGACCTACATGCGATCAGCAGAGCCATCAGTATTCACTAGGACTACAGCTGAGGGAGTAGCTCGTGTCCGCAAATCCAAGGGCAAATTTGCCTTTCTCCTGGAGTCCACTATGAATGAATACATTGAGCAGCGAAAGCCATGTGACACGATGAAAGTGGGAGGAAATCTGGATTCCAAAGGCTATGGAGTAGCAACGCCCAAGGGTTCCTCATTAAGGTGGGTGGAATAGTATAACAATATAACATGTGTTGTTATAGTATTCCACCTTCCCTGATGTCCCTGAGAGAATTATTTTGTTTTGTGTATGAACATGATATGTTTGTTTATTTGTTTTCTTTTTCTCCATTTTCATATGTTTTGGTCAACAATCAGGTAATTTTAAATTTTAATTTAGATTAATTAATCATAGTCTACATGTATCATTTAAGGCCATATAAAAACCAAACTGGTTGAACACTAGCTGTTTCCAGTGGGCCTAAAACCTGGGTGGCACATGCTTCTAGATCTCATCAACTTTTTTAGCCACTAAAACCTACACTACCGTTTTGTCAGTAATAAGTTTACATTTGATCATTATGTTTTTTGAAATTATGACTGGCTGCTAGTATCTGAGAGAGGAGAAACCAACTTCTTTCTTCTGGTGTTTTTTGTTTTGTTTTGTTTTGTTTTTTCCATTTCAATGTTTCATTTATTATAACATCTCTCTATTTTGGATTATTCTGAGTAACACTGGTGCTTATTTTGAAATCATATCCATTTATAAAAGCAATCATGATCAGAGTGGGAAATGGGCTCTGGTTTTATGGTGCTTACTCAAGTCACACTCCCACGTGTTTCCAAGGGAGTATGGTGTAAGTAAGATCTGTAAAAGTAGACCCATTGACAAGCCAAGAGTGTTTACAGATATGTCTTGAAATGTGATTCACGAGGAAAGCATTAAGCAAATGGATAACAATCCACATTTACTAAACATGAGACTTTCATTCTTAAGAAAATGTTGGTAAAAGCTGCCCTTTTTACCTTCTTGGTCCTGGACATAGAAAATCCACATGTTTATGTCCAGGAGGCAGAATTTCCTATTTTCCTTAAGCAATGAAGGCTACTATTAAAATCCTGGATCTAGAGCAAGTCTGGAGATGACAGTGACACATGCCAAATTACTCTGGTCTTAATACAGCTTAGGAGATAGTCACATAAAGCACAGATTCCAGAAGAAACCAGTATCTTTGCTAAAGGACTTAACCAAGAACCTGGTCTTGAAAAGTCATGTCTCTGGTAAGCCAGTGAAACATTAAGGTAATGAAACTTCAATACTGCCTAGCAGAAATGAAAAGCAATATAAAAGTTATAAAATTATTTCCATTGATTTCACAACGGAAACTGAAATGTTTTGGGTATGTGTGTGTTGGCTTGGGAAGAGTTGGGAGAGAGTAAAGAAACAAATACCAGTACTCAAAAGGGTTGTGTTAAACCATATTTTGTGTCTGCAAGCAACTAATTAGCTAGGGGTATTATGGTATGGTACAATAGGAACATTTATAAAAAAAGATATAGAACAAGACTGCTTAATAAGGACATATCTGGTATGAACTCTGGCAATTTTGAAATCAGGGTTATTTTAACACACATCACATATGAAACTGGAGAAATGTGCAGGGAGAAAGCCAAACTAATAAATCATCCATGATAAAATTCTGCTAGAAAGGAGTCCAACTATTCAGAAACTTCAATTTGTATCAGGATTTGGGGTCTTTGAGGGTGTATTTTGAATGGGAAATATGTCACTTCATTGAGGACAAATAGCAAGTAAATCTCAATCGAAGTAGTAATTATAAGAGCATGGTAGGATAAACAATTTAACAGAAATAGAAGGGGAGAAAGCAATAGTGATTAATATGCAGATCAGTATTCAGACTATTGATTATATTCACTGGGTGTTGCTTTTGCTCTTAGTTAATTCTCTGTGGATTTAGCTGCCTTGTCCTCTGTCTTGTGTCTACTGATAAAGTCAAGCCACAGGGACTGAATTTGGCCCTTAGATACGGTTGCGACTGACTCCCATTGATGGCAAGAGAGCTCCCTCTTAAATGTGCCGCTTTGTCAAATCCACACTACAGGGATTGTTTGGGGAGAAGCTGAAGGGCTTCATCTGTCTCCAGCTGTATAATCATCAGCCATTGGCTTCCCCTTCTTTTCCTGTCCTTCCCTGGATCTTGTTAATGAAGCAATTGTTAAACTCTGCTTCCTGGATGGAGAGTTTGTTTATGTGATTTGCTTTAGACATGCCACAATTTCCTGAGCAAGCTGGCTGCTGCATGCCAATACCACAGTCATTTTGTCCTGTCTTTGAGAACACTGAGAGAGCACTGACGGCTAATCAGGCCCACCTTTCCCTCCACCTCCTCACTCTTCTATCAACAGTCTATCTATGCAGGAGGCTCATTAGGTTTAAATTTTCATCCCAGTAGGATTCTTCTATTTCAAATGAGGCAAACTAATATAGACATGGATTAATAGGTATCTTCTGTATAAATAGAAGCAAATTCAAAATAATTACATGCAGCAGAGCAAGATCCAAAGGGCATTCCTACATCAAGACTGTCTGAAACCTTCCTGCCTTGTTTGTTCAGGAGGAACTGAGTCTGTTTTCCTATAGGATCAATCTTTTTTAAGCAGATCTTTACTTTAGTAGCTTGGATATAGTGAGATTTGCTTGTTTCATTGTCATTATCTGGTCTTTAGCTGTGGCTTTCTCACACCATTGATTTGATTCATTTGACAACAGGAGGTTTTAATGAAGGAAAACAGTAATCTTTCCTTCTATGAAAGCTTAAACAGAGTACACAGGGAATCAACTAACAATCTTCCATTTGATCTAGGGAGTTTTTAATCATTGGGCCTTCCTTGCTGCTTGGCTAAAATGCTTTAGAATAAATGTCACAGGAAAGAACGGTGGGGAGTGTGATATATAAGTTAAGTCAGAACCTGGCCTTTAAAGTAGAATTTTAAATGAATGTAATCTGGATCATCACAGGAGTATATCTGTGACTGGGCTAAAAAATATTAAACAGTGATAACTCATACCCACCTATGTGGTAGAAAATGATAAACAGAGTTGATTGTTGCTTTATTTCAGACTAGCCTTCTACTAGACATAGAAATTGCAGTGTTAACAGTATTAACTGTTGCTAACAGCTCTCGATTACAAAAGACAAATTATAATACCTAGAAATTATTGATTTATAGTAATTTGACACAAAATCTCTGATTTTTTTTAAGATGACAGAATGATTTTTTTTAGATGGAGAATGATACCAAGCATTTTGATCGTGTTAAACTTACTATCCATGGATTCCAGTTTAAAAAGATAAACAATTACATATTCCTAGGAATTATAAATATCAATGAGTGAAAGTACTTGAACTTACTTTTATTTTCCAAAGTTATCTTCTAAAGAAAAGTTTCATATCTTATTGTAAGATAGAAAGGCAAAAATGCTTTTCTTTATATGACATCTCAACTTGATGCTTGTCTTGAATCTCTTTTTACATGTGTAATGCTGTTTGTGCTTCTATTAATGTTGGGAACTTCTCAATCACCTCTTCCTAAATACCTTAGACTAAAACAATTGTGAAAGGCTTTCTCTGGCTGAGGAATTTTTAAAGCTGTTTTAAGAACACATGCTTAGATTGCATTCCAAGGGAATGTAAGGTTAGATGGGAAAGGATGTCTGTTATATTCCTTTTGGCTTTGTAATCAATACTATTAACTTTGCATACGATAGATAGCTTACTAACTATATAGTATGTATATTACATATGTGCCATATGTGGCGCTGTGGGTTAATGCGTCAGACTGCAAAGCTGTTTGAACTGCAAGGTCTGTGGTTCAAGCTCACCAGCTGCTCCTTGGAAACCCTATACAGGGTCGCATAGTAGGGGTGGAAATCGACTCGACGGCACTAAACAACAGCAACAATAGATAGATCAGGTTTTTTTACTATCAACTTTACTATACTATAAATAAAACTATTAAAGGTTGGTTGTTGTTATTGTTAAGTGCTATTGAATCGGTTCGGATTCAGAGTGACCCTGTACTGGGTTTCCGAGGAGCAGCTGATAGGACTGAAACCACCAACCTTTTTGTTCAAACCAACCTTGACATCCAGTGCTTATCCTACAGCATCACTTTGTTAATATAGATTTACTTGTAAGTAGTTGTTAGATTGGAATCACCCTTTTAGAGATATTCCTAGGAACTGGCATCTGTAATTATCTTCAAGGAAGAAAGCAGCAGATCAAGTCTGACGACATCCTTTATCTTAAATAAAGACTTCATCATAACATTTGAAGCCTAGTTAATAATCTCCTACAGTGATAATTTCATTCAAATTTTTCTTCTCTAAATTTGTACGTCGTGGTTACAAATCAGGCTGCTAATCTCACTGGTCAGCAGTTGGAAACTACCAGCTGTTCCACTTCCATGGGAGAAAGATGAGGCTTTCTGCTCCCATAAAGAATTACAGCCTCATAAACCTTGTTACAAGGTTGCTATGTGAGTCGGAACCGACTCCACAGCACATAACAACAACAACAAAGATATTTGTGTAAACAGAGTCTGAATTAAGACAAATATTCTGTCATGAAAAATAAAATCATATTTCAAAAGACAGCAGTTCCCAAAGAACTTGGATCAGTGGGTGAGACCTGGAAAAAATGAAGCTCAGTTGGACTTGATGTCAGTTTCAGAAACCTGTAGCAATAGGAACTAAGCCTTTGAATCAAAGACATCATACTTGGTTTACAATACGCAAGTCACAGCCCCACATAAGTAGTATAGAAGGGAAGAGTACTAAGAATGTGAATTAGAATACACATTCTTATTCTTTTTCTTAGGGATTTTTTCTTTCTGTATTTAACAAAATCACTTGCCTCAAAGAATACTTGGCCTAAGTCTCCATCTGAATCAAGGTGTATAAGAGGTCTCCGTAGGTCCAACTATGCTTCTTGCATTTTGGAAGATTCAATAGGACAAATGAACTGAACTTAATACTCAAATTCATGAATGAAAAATACATTATCCTGAAGAACCACTTTCTTGTGTAAAATATGTCAAACTTATTTTGTCATCAACTCAGATGTACTAGGAAGGTTGTGTGTGGAAGTAAACCTGAAGTCTGGTTTTTGCATTGGTAACAAGCCAGCTGAGAACATACA